TTTTTTTTCTTTCTTCTTGAAACACAATCACTTATATCTTTCAGAACCCTTTCTTTGCTTGTCATTTAATGTCAGCCCCACAATTCCTGGCAATCTCATCCACTTTCATATTAGCTACTAAACTGATTGACTTTTTTCTTTCTTTTCATGTCCTCATTTACTCATCAAAACATCTACCAGTCACCTCCTCCTGAATTCTACAGGTGCTTTACAGCTCACCACATCCGAAACCAAACTCTTTTCTCCAAAGCAGTTGGAAACCAAAGCAGTTTGGTTATTTTCAACCTTGACACCACCACCCAATCTTATGGAGTACATACTGCACAAAGGATGTACATACCGCTCCTTCTTCAAAATTGAGGGTGATATCCAGTAAGACAACTGCTGTAACAAACTGCTATCTTATTTCCTAAGATTCAAGCTTATTTCCTTCATCATACTTATTTCAAATCTTTCTCCTCTTACTATGACTAACTCAGAAGTTATCAAATTGTATAATCAGTTGCTACGAACTCCTATTTTAAAAGGACTCTATAATCAAACATTTTTGAGAATGGCTGCACATTAAAAAAAAAAGAAGAAGAAAGAAACAAAGAAAAAGATGTTTTAAGAACTGGGGATTGAACCCTGGGGCACTTTACCACTGAGTTATTCCCCGGCCCTTTTTGAGACAAGGTTTCACTACATTTTTTAAGGCCCCACTAAGTTGCTGAGGCTGGCCTTGAACTTGTGGTCCTCCTGCCCAAGTCAATGGAATCATAGCCATGTACTATAATGCTCAGCTACAATATGACTATCTTGTTAAAGATTTAGAATGAACAGTGCCCTATGTTGTGCTGAGAAGTCCTACAGTGAAGAAACCAGCTTAAGGGAATAAGGATATGGCTCAGGGTGGAGTGTTTGCCTGGCATGTGTGAGGTGCACTGCAAAAATAAATAAATAAATAAATAAAACACAACAACAAAGAACAGCTTAGTTTTATTTAAGCCACTATCTCCATTACGTTTGTCCACAAAATACTTTCAGTAGGGGTAGGACAGTAAGTGGGAGCTTAAGTTCTTTAACTAAAAACCCACCATTTGTAGTCATACAAACCTATAATTCCAATGATTCAGTAGACTGAGGCAATAGATCATAAGTTCAAGGCCAGCCTGGGCAACTTAGCAAGAACTTGTCTCAAAAAATAAAAAAGGTTGGGAATGTAGCTCAGTGGTAAAGCATCCCTGAGTTCAATCCTCAATACCAACAAATGAATTAATAAAAATTTTTAAAAATTCTCCTCAGAAAAGAAGAAAAATAATCTCCACACTTCTTTAGTGTATCTTCCATACTAAGTGATCTAATGTTCAAACCTAGAACTGTCATTTCTTATTAGCTCATTATTTTCTGAGGAAAGAGAACTAGTTTCAGGCAACATGGATTATTAAGACCAGGTCTCATCCTCTTGGGTGCCTACTTGAATGTCACATGTCATTGTCTGATGACATTCCAGGAACTCTAAACTACCTGTTTTTGTGGTTCTCTTCATCTCCTTATTCACCAGCTTCTAACTAGTTTAAGACTTAGCTTAGGTACCCAAATGATCTCTTCTTAGATAAAAACA